GATGGGTGCAAGGTATGTGATGGAGGTGTCCTGGGGGTTGACGGAGGGGTGCTGCAGGTCAGGACCGAGGTGTACTGGGACTAATGGAGGTTTGCGGGGGGTGGCGGTGTCAGGACAGAGGTGTCCTGGGGTTTGATGCAGGGGTGCAGGGTACGTGATGGAGGTGGACTGGGGGCTGAAGGAGGGGTGCAGGAGGACAGAGGGGCCAGGAGAGACATGCAGGAACCATAGGCAAGCCAGGCCTGGAGCAGGACCGGGTCTGGGGGGCCGCAGGAGCAGGACCTCACCCTTCCCATCGGTGCCCGACGCGTCCTGGAGGTGCCGGATGGACCTGGGGAGGGGGGTGCAGGGTGTGGTGAGCGTTGAGCCCTCCCTCGTCAGGGGATCCGGAGCCCCACTGCCTTGGGTCTCACCAGACGACTGGGAAGAGGATGGCGCCGCAGCATATGAGGTCCACCAGGAAGAGCACCTCCTTCCACACCCCGTAGTCACTGGAGCCCTCCTCACTGGACTCGATGACAATGTAGGCCACGTTGGCCAGGACCTGTGGGGCCAGGGCTGTGGGCGGGCATTGCCAGGGTGCATCTCCCCACCCCATGGCCTCCATCCCCCACCCCATGGCTTCCATCACACCCGGGGTGCATCCCCCCACCCCACGGCTTTCATCCCACACACCACGGCCTCCACCACATCCGGGGTGTATCCCCCCACCCCACGGCTTTCATCACACGTGGATGCATCCATGCCACCCCATGGCTTCCATCACACCAAGGATGCAGCTATTCCAGCCCATGTGGGCCTTCATACTTGGGGTGCACCCGCACCTGAGGTGAATCCACCCCATGGTCCCCCATTAAACCATGGGTGCATCCACCCCACCCACAGCCCCCATCATACCTGGGATGCCTCCTTCCCACCTCATAGCCTCCACCACACTTGGGGTGTATGCCTACCCTCACCCCACATCACATTCAGGGGGCACCTCCACCCCTTCTTAGTGCCCCACCCCATGGCCCCTGTCACACTCAGAGTGCATCTCCTCCCCCACCTGGGGCCCCACCTCGCACCTGTAGAGGGATCACGATGCCAAAGATCTTCTTCTCCTTGTCCGACAGCACGTACTTGACGAAGGCCCAGCCTGAGCCGATCAGGGCGATGGTGATGAAGAGGAGGGCGCCCTTCAGCCTGAGAGCGTCGAGGGGCCATGAGACCGAGCTGCCCGGCCTGTCCCCACCCTCGCCCTCGGCCCGCCCAGCAGACAGGGACCCCGAGCTGCCCGGCCTGTCCCCGCCCTCGCCCTCGGCCCACCCAGCAGACAGGGACGCCGAGCTGCCCGGCCTGTCCCCACCCTCGCCCTCGGCCCGCCCAGCAGACAGGAACCGAGCTGCCCGGCCTGTCCCCACCCTCGCCCTCGGCCCTCCCGGCGGACAGCGACACTCACAGGTGTGTGATGTAGTGCATGACGGCGAGGCCCTCGATGGGGTGGCCCTGGCTGTTGATGAAGTAGTAGTTGATCTGGAAGTGGACAGATGGGCAAACAGTCAGGAGAAGGCGGGTCAGTAGGTAAACAGGGGTCACAACTGGATGGATGGGCAGTCAGGCGAAGGCAGGTGGGTGGGTAGATGGGGGTCACAAATGGACAGACAGGCGAACAGTCTTGGGGAGAGGGGTGGGTGGGTAGACAGGCAGATAGTCAGGCGAAAGCGGGCGGGTAGGTAGACGGCGATCACCACTGGACAGACGGTGGCAGGACAGAGACATGCACAACCCTGGCAGGGGGTGGTGGGTGCACGTGCAGCACAGGTTATACTAGGAAACACGGCAGGGGAGGGTGTCTCAGTGGGCAGTGACTGAGGAATAGAGTCACAGCTGGTGCAACGTGGACTTCGAATAACTGGTGGAAGGATAGACAGATGATTAGATGGACAGGTGGACGCAGGGACAGAAAAATCACGACTGGAGTAATGGCTGGACAGTCAGGCTGTGGGGTGGGGGCGCAGCTGGAACTGTGGGTTGGATGGAAGGACAGACAGATAGGCAGCTGGCCACACCGAGGCGGGAACAGGTGAGGAAGTGGCCACTGGAGCTCTCCAGCGCAGGCCCTGGCCCACCTCCCCGCCCTGCGCCCGGCCGGGCCCTTACGCTGTGGAACAGGAGGGAGACACTCTTGATGAAGGCCAAGGCCGCCATGAGCCAGTGGATCTTGAAGACGTTGTACCTGTGGGGCGGAGGGGCGGGGATACATGACAAGGGGAGCAGGGAGCTGATCAGGGGAGGCGGGGGACCCCCAGAGGCATGGGCTTACGTATTCCTGCAGAGAACCAGCACCCAGAAGATTCCGGCCGCCAGGAAGCAGGCGGCCATGACCATGTAGAGCTTGAACAGGGGGATCTCCGAGGCTGACAGGAAGCCTTCGGGGTTCTTCTCCCGGATCATCACCTGAGGGCAAGGGGGGTGGTCCTGGGGACCGAGCTCTGCCACCTGCCATCAGCTCTCCTACTTTAGCCTTCTCATCTCTAAATAGGTATAAGGGAGCTCTGGTGGCCTCACGGGGAAGAAAGTCCGCGGCAGTCCCAAAGACACCTGGTTCGAATCCACCAGCTGCTCCATGGGAGGCTGGGCAATTCCTCCTGCGTGATTTACTGCCTCTCAGCACCCGATGGGGGCTCAGCTGTGAGTCGGCTCCGACTCAAGGATTAACAACAACAGAGTATAACAATGCCTTTCCACAGCATTAGTAGTGTCACGCTGCAAACTGGAAGGTCAGCAGTTTGAGCCCCCAGACTGCTCACCGTGATGTCGAACGGCTGCTCCCGCCCCGGGATGGAGTTGTAGCAGTTATGGAAGTTGAGGTTATACTGTCCTTCCTCGGCACTGGAGCCGATGACCACGTGGAACTGGGCCGGGAAAGAGAAGGGGTTCAGCCTGGGTCCCGTCCTCCTCAGGCTGGTCTGGGCTGCGGGCGCTGGGGACACTCACGCTGAAGTTGTAGGAGTTGTTGCCGTGGCCCAGGCCCAGCACCAGCTCCTGGTCCTTCCCACTTGAGCTCTGCAGGGACAGAGTACCTCTTTAGCATCTTTTGGGGGTCCCTGACCCCAGGGGCCCCCCATTCCCACCCACCTGCCCCGGCTCCCCAAAACCTGCTGGCTTGCTTCAGACACCGCAGTAGGCCCTGGTCTAGCCTTTTCACCAGCAGGGGCCACTGTGGGATGAGACCAGGCAGGGTGGGGACAAGTAAGTGAGATGGACAGAGGGTCAGCAGGGGGATGGTGTCCTCCTTGCCTTCAGGGTCAGAATGACTCACCGCTGTTTCCCTTGGAGGGGGCCGAGGGCCCTGGTTTGGGGAGCCCAGGGCTGGAGAGCCCCTCAGGGAGGAGCCCCGGGGAGATGAGCAGCTTCTTTTGGTCCCCATACTTTCGCACCTGGACCCTGTCAGGAGATGAGGGGGCGGAGGCTGGGGGCAGGTGCACCACCAGGGCCCACGGACTCGGGGGGCAGCATAGGTGGTGGGAAATGTGGATCTCAGGACTATCGACCCCCCTGCCAGGTTGGCCGCCACATTTCCCAGCTGGCTGTTCCAGACATTACTTCATTGCTCTGACATTGACTTATTTAACTTAAACTGCATTTGTGAAAGCGAAGGTGTTAGCAACAGAAAAGCAACATGGCACCCTTGGAGTCTGGTGCCTAGATTCCAGCTCTGGGGACTCAGTTTCCTCATCTGAAGAATGGGGACAATGACAATTGAAGGAATGGGTGATTTCATCCAGGCAAAGGGCCCCGGCCCTGCCTGCCACACACAAAGCATGCAACAGTGTCAACTTATTCTCCAGGCAACACTGTCCCCAGCTTTCTACTGGGAGACCCCAATACTTCCTGACCTCTCTTCCTTCTTCCCAGAGGTCAGACAGCTTGGAGATGATATGACAGAGCAATGGTGCTTCCATTGTGGGTGTCTGGGTGACCCTAGAAGGGTCCCACACACGGGGATCATGGGTGGGGGTGTCTAGTGAACCCCCAGTCCCCAGCTCACCGCAAATCCTTGGTGTTGATGAGGAAGAGGACTAGGAGGCTGCTGCTGTTCTTCTGGAGGGGACAGTCATGGGGGTCCTGGGGCTGGGTGGGAAGAGGAGCTTGGGTCACCCCTGCCTGGACCCTGCCTCCCTCCCCAACTACCCCAGCAGGGAGGGTCTCTCCTGCCTTCCACCTCTGGGAAAGAACTGCGGTCTTTGGGCTCCCGGGGTGGAAGGCAGTCCCCAGCCCACCCTCCCTGACTTCTTCCACTTACAGAATAGGACCGGACACTGCCAGATCGAACCCGGGTCAGGCTGAAGCCCACCTGGCGGGTGGAAAGGAAAAGGTGAGGGGGGCATAAGGGACGAGCTGAGGTCCTGGGCCAGCCCTGCCAGTCCCAGGAGAAAGGCCACCTGCTTTATTAAGTGCTTGTTACATGTCGCAGCCTCCTTTCTTACTCAGAATTTTCCAGCAACTCATCCCACCTCTATTCTCTTAGCCTCTAACTGCAAGCATCCCTAGCTCTCTATGCACCCCCATAGTAACCCCAAGACCCACCCCGAACATCTTGTCTCCTATGGACTGGCCTGTACTGTTGCACCCTCGTTTAAAAGCAGGTGGTGCCCGGCCTAAGAGCAGGAATTCAGGACACCTGGACAAGAGCCCAGGGCTCTGCCATGGTTGGTGTGAAGAGTTAACATGCTCAGCTGTTAACAGGAAGGCTAGCAGTTCGAATCCACCCTCAGGTGCCTTGGAAGAAAGGCCTGGTGGTCTACTTTTGGAAAGGTAGCCAAACACGATGCCAGTGCTAGTCAGAGAGGACTAGAAGGCATTGATTGGGTCCAAGTGACTGCATAAATCACACACGTCAGAGCCCATGTCCATTACGGTAGAATGGGGCTCTGGGAATTATCACAACAACTCCACGTGGTCGTTCTTTGAGGGGTGGAGGAAGCCCCAAGAAACTTATCCGAATGGTATCTGTTAACAATAGTTATAGAAAGGCTTCGGGTCTTAAGTTCATAGAGTCGCTGTAAGTCATGCTCAACAGCAATCACCAACAACTGTTAACTTAGCGGACACTGCGTAAATATGAGCTATTCATTTCGCCTAGGGTCCCTGGGTGGTGCCAACAGTTAATGCACGTACTTGGCTGCTAACCTAACCAAAAGACTGAAGGTTTTAATGCACCTGGAAACGCCTGGAAGACCTGCTAATTTGCAAACCAAAAAACCAGCCATTGACAACCCTATGGAGCGCGGTTCTACTTTGGCCCACACGGGGGCGCCCTGAGAATGGACTCGCCGGGCCCCCGCGGGACCTTTACTCGTTTTAACTGTACGAATCGGGGGGAGCGTCTTGTTCATCGGTTAGCTCCCTGACTCTTCCAAACCCTGCCCTGCACGGATCACGCGAGACAGGATGGACCCCACTTTACAGATGGGGAGACTGAGGCTCTGAAGGGCCGAGGGGGCTGGCCCGAGGTCACGTGGGAGCTGGGCGGGGCACCGAGAAGAGGTGGCGGGGAGGAGAATCAGGGACCCCCGGGGCTCGTGCATCCTCATTGCTCACCAGCGGCGGGGTCTTCTCGTCTGGGTCCTGGCGGCCCAGGCGGAGGAGGCTGAGCTCCACCTCCAGGGACCCGTTGGTGTAGAAGCCGAAGCTGTTGAGCTGGATGTCGGCTCGCTTCTCCCCCTGCGGGGACACTCAGGCTTAGACCCGCCCTGACCAGTTGCCCAGCCCGCGGCCCTGGACCGAGGCCACCCCGGGGATCTCACCCCTTCCTAATCAGACTGGCCCAAAGAGTTGATAAGAGGTGCTGCCAGCGCTCGGCTGTAACAGAAAAGGCCGGCAGTTCAAGCTCTGCGGAAGAAAGACCTGGCAATCTGCTCCTGTAGTGCCTACCAAACCCATCGCTACAGGAGCAGAGGACCACGTTATTTCTCCCCTGGAAATTTCAACCCTGGGGTATCCGAGAGTCCCCTGATCCGACTGAGGGTGGATTTATTAATCTTGGGTGCCTGACCCATCCATACCTCCTAGGAAAAAGTTTTTATTTCAACTGAGCCTTCAAGATCCAAAGGATGCTTGGAAGACTCTACCCTAGACCTCTCGTGGGTCCCTCGTCCAATCCCAAATGGCTCTTAGGTGCCGCTAAAGAGATCCCAAGAATTAATAGGGTTAAGGGGCAGGGGGATGACCCTGGAGGTGAAGCATCGCCTCCAATGGGAGGGGCACGGCCCCGCCAGGCGGGCCAGGCAATTCCGCAGGGAGGATCAAGGGGGCTCGGACGAGACCATTCCCGGCCTGGAAGTGGGGGGGCGCCGGGCCGCTCCATCCTGCACAAGGACCAGGGGAGGCGGCCGACACCACTTCAAGCTGGGGGCTTCTTCGGGGAAAGCCGCACACCCCTCCAGTCCCGGAACACCACCGCACAGCGGGCCTCACCGTCAGCGTCAGCCGGTGGATGCGCCCGGAGCAGCCGCCCAACAGCAGCAGCAGCAGCAGCCGCCGCGGCCCCCACTCCGCGGGGCTCCCGCGGGCGAGCCCCCTCCTCTCGCTCACTGCCATCTCTGGAGCCACCGCCTCCTCCGACCCCGCCTCTGACGCCCTTAGGCCCGCCTTCCCGGTAGCCAATCGCCGCACAGCGAGACCCCCCCTTTCAGGGTTTATATCCCTGATAGCCAATCAGCAATCGTTTTCTCGCAAACCCGCCCCCACAAGAGACCAGATGGACTGCACCAGCTTCGAATAAAAGTGCTCAAACAGCTTAACTCCGCCTCCCACCGCCACCAATCACCAGAAACATGGTCCCGGATGTAATTTGATAAACATAGCACTTAACCAATTATGAGGAGTCTGATATCCGGTTCTGTGAAGCGAAATTCCTCTTAACTGACAGTAATCTAGGACTACAGTTCCCAGAATAAAGCAGGAGCATGCCGCACCCCTACTAAATAAAACTACGTCTCCCAGTATCCCGAGGACGGACTTCCTCTCTTTACCCCTGGGACGTGGCTTCTGTCCAGAGTTCAGTCTCTTGGTAAACATGCGCATCTGCTTAGGCCTGTTCTAGGCTCCCTGATCCACAGAGAGGCCTAAATTTGGCCCGAAGATACCTCCTGACCTTAGGATGACCTATGACCTCAGCCTGAACACCCCGTTACCTACAGCAGAAAACTGACCTCAGACCGAAACCTACATGCCCGCTTCCACCTACACTGACCCCCTAATTACCGACTGAATCCTGACCTGACCCCAGACTCTAATTTGAGTTTCTAACTCATGACGGGTTACTGTTTCTCATCGCAATCTGAGACTCCAGACCCACCTGCGGCGCTGATCCGGGCCAAATCCTTTGAGTCTCTCACCAACTGGAGGCCAGAGCTCGAAACCTAACCAGATCTTTAGGTCCAGATTCCAGTTGAGCTCCTGACTCAATCTGAACCCCCAAATTTTGGAGCCCAGCCCAGTTTCTAGCCCGCGAGCCACCAGCAGGTGGGGCCAGGTCCCAGCGGAGCTGGTTGTTGCAGTGCAGGCTCCCAGAGCTTAGCCTACTGGACCCCCGGGGACTCTACAGCTCAGGCTCACCAGTCCCCGGGGGTGGGTGTAAAGTCCCTGAGCCCCAGCATGGCTTCTGCCACCTCTGTAGTCACAGAGAAAGCCCCGAAGGGGAAGGCCAGAGGGTGTCGCCTTTAGGGCTTCTTCCCTTTTATCTCAATGCCTCAAAAGAATTTACAAGGTGTGAACAAACTTTTATAGAGGAGGCAACATTTCCAAGCCCCAGGGCGCGGGTATCTGGAGAAGGAAGGACGAGGGGGCTTATGGTCGGGATGAGCAGATAAACGTGAACGGACTTTAATGAACGAGACTGGGAAATGGGCAGGTGCAATCACGTCGAACAGGCGGGGGCCTGGGGAAGGCCTGGGCCCAGCGCCCCAAGGACGATCTGTCCTCAGTTTCCCAGCTGGGACTGGACGAGGGAAAGCAGGATGCGGTATGAGTGCTAATGGACCCGGCCTTGGCGGAGACACGTCCTGGGCCCCGATCGAAGTCCTCCCATCCGCCCTGTGGCCGAAGAGACCAGACCATTAGTGGGACGAGCGTAGATGTCTGGAGCCAGGCCGGTCCGCAAGAGTTGGGTCATCTCAGGTTCTCCCTGAAAGGGGTGGGGGGGGCCACTTCTTGGGTTAGGGGTTTTGTGCCTTTGGCCCTTTAAGGAATGTCTGATGAGAAAGGGAAAGGAAGAAAACGATTCAGAAAAGAAAAGATAGGATGAGAAGGGGCCACAGGAATTTAGAAACCAGGAGGGGGGTTCTTTAAGGGGTGGGCCCGGAGGAGTGGCGGGGGGGGTGTGGTGTGGCTGAGCTCTTGTAGAAAGGGGCGGGCTGTCAGATAGGCCACGCCTCTTTAAGACCACGCCCACACGGCTCCCGGGCCTCACTGCCGCGCTAGTGAGGCGTGGCTAAGGTCGCGGGGCGGAGCTAGGTCCCCCGAGTGGGCGGGGCCTGGCGGGCGGGGCCGGGCGCACCGCCCTGGGCTGAGTCTCCAGGCGGCGAGCGCGGGCGGCGGGGACCTGGTGGTGGCGGCGGCGGCTTCGGCGGGAGCAGCATGGATTGGGGCACTGAGCTCTGGGTGAGTCCGGTCGTCCGGCCCCTGTTCCTTCTCCCTAAGATCCAAGCAGCCCTCTTTGCCCGTGGAGCTTTGAGGGGAAGTTGCAAGCTGTCCGATCCACCGATTCCCCCCCACCCTCCCACGGGTCCCCGCCCTCTTGGAGTTTGGATCCAGGACGCTGGGGGCGAAGGGCGACCTTTCAAGAACGAGGGAGGGAAACTGAGGCACTGCGTTCAAAGTGAGGCGGGTGGAAGAACTCTAGGGACCAGGCCGGGACGCTCGGTCGAGGTCACCTATTTTGGGCTCCCTGACCTGGCCGGCTGCTAATTTTACGGCCCCTGGGTCCCTGCCCACCGGTCGCCTGTACGGCTAGGCGGGGGGAGGGGACCCTCTGGCCAATCTTTCCCCCACGTGGGACTCAGAAGTCCAGATTTCCCTCTCTGTCGCTTCCAGGGACTTTGAGACGCCTTGCAGGGAGGGTGCTCCTAGGCTCGGATCCTGCGCCCTCCCCTAGCACCTGGCCTCTTGGAAGCCCCAGAAATTTCCCCCTCTCTTAGTTTCGACCTCTGACCCCTTCCCTTTCACGGGGCCGGGGATCCCTGGGTTCCTGGGAGCAGCGGAGTAGCTGGGTCGCCCCCTCCCCCATCAACTCTGGGAAATTTTTAGGAGGGGCCCATGAGTCAGTGGGGGAAACTGAGTCACCCATCAGAGGACCCTGGGAAGCATGGCGACTCGGGAAACCGGGTGCCTACCCCTACGCCATTCTGGGGCCCCCCAAGTTGCGGGAACCCTGCCCCTCTGGCCCTGACTCACGCCGGGCCGGCCGGATTTTCCGGAATCAGGGGGGATTAGGGGAGCCGGGACAGAGGGAGGGGCCTTGCCCCATTCCACACCCGCCTTGGCCATTTGGAGACCGGACCCTGGCGTCCGGCGGGGCCCCGCCCCTGCTCCCTGGCCCTTCCCGGGAAGGGGAGGGGGTTCCCGCCGGTTTCCTGCCTCCCCCCTCCCCAGGCCGGGGCGGGGCCGGGGAGCCACGCCCCCTCGGAGCTCCTGGGCCTTGGAATTCCCGGGTCTCCTCGTGGTCCCGGGGCTCTGGGGCCCCCAGACCCTGACCCTCCCGCCCGCCCTCCACCCCCAGGATCAGTTTGAGGTGCTCGAGCGCCACACGCAGTGGGGGCTGGACCTGCTGGACAGATACGTGAAGTTCGTGAAGGAGCGGACGGAGGTAGAACAGGCTTACGCGAAGCAACTGCGGTGAGACTCGTGGGTGACCAGCCCTGGGACTGTGTGGAGGGGCTGGAGGACCCCCGGGGCTCAGCCCACTGCCTCTCTCCTTGTAGAAACCTGGTGAAAAAATACCTGCCCAAGAAACCTGCCAAGGATGACCCTGAATCCAAGTAAGGATGGGGACAGGGGAGGGGGTGACCCCACCCCCGTCCCTAAGCTGAGAGAGCCCCAGGGAGGCCCCTCACCTCTCCTTTCAGCCAAGAGCTAAGACTTGTGGGTGTTGGGTTCACCCACATCACCTGGGTTGAATTCCTAAGTCTACTACTTATTAGCTGAGGGTTTTTGGTCAAAGTTCTTTGCTCTATGTTTCTCATCTTCATTGCTGTAACTGCTAAACTCTAGGCTGCTAACCAAAAGGTTTGTGGTTCAAATTCACCCAGGGGCTCTCGGTGGGGAAAGAAGCCCTGTGGACAGTTGTGCTCTATCTATGGATGGGAATCAACCCAGGGGCACACAACAGCAACATTAAAAGGGGAGGCTCCCACAGCTATTTCACTAAAGACTTTGGGCAAGTTTGTGCGGCAGCCTTCCTCATCCATGAAATGGGTTAACTGTTGATGTGACTTTCATGTTACTAGGAAGCTCAGTGGCTTAGTGTTAATGAGTTACACTACCAACCCAAAGGCACTCGGTTCGAATTCACCAGCTGCTCCTCAGGAGAAAGATGGGCCTTTGAAAACCCGCTTAATGGTCCACAAAAACAACAACAACAATGTATTTTGTGGACTGATTTGTTGAAACGGTTCCCAGCACATAGATACTGGTCTTTGTTTGCTAATTGCTGTGATGTTGATTCTGATTCTGGAAACCCCATGTGTATGGATTAGAACTGTGCTCCAAAGGATTTTCAAGATTGTGAGGTTTTAGAAACAGATCACCAGGGCTTTTTTTATTAGAGGCATATCTGGGTGAGTTCGAACCACCAACCTTTCCCTTAGTAGTTGAATGCTTAACTGTGTGTACCACTCAGAGATTCTTTAACTTTGCTGTCTGGTGCCATCAAGTTGACTCTGACTCCTGACCCCTGTGGCAGAGGAGAAATGCACCATGGGGTTCCATAGCTGTCGTCTTGATAGAAATAAAATCCCAAGTCTTTCTCCTGCTGAGCCATTTGGTGGATTCGAACCACCAGCCTTTCGATTTGCAACCAAATGCTTCACCATTATGCCAAGACTCTCTTTGACTTCATCACAAGCCCCAAAAAGTCTTGGGAATGAAAACTGGCTTGGCAGCAACCTCTGACCTGAACTGACATGATGTTAATTATAGTCTTGATTTGATTCTGCTTTGTGTGACTATTAATACCACTCACTAAAAAAAAAAAAAAGCATTTATGGTGTTTGATTTCAGGATCAGCCCCCCTACCCCACTGTGGGTGATGCATCATAGATGGCATCCACATCATACTCCTTTTCTCAAACCTATAAACTCCTGAGTTTCAAAGTGCAGTTGGCCCAGGGATTAAGGATAAGGGGTCGTTGACCAAGAATGCTCATTGCCCCAAGGGTCAGCGTGCTGGGGCTTCCCTTGTCCCCCTGGAGGTGCAGGACCCTCTGGCTCCTGGAAGCCCTGATGGCCAGCTGCCTGCCCCCCCACCCCAACCCTCTCCACCCAGGTTCAGCCAGCAGCAGTCTTTCCTGCAAATCCTCCAGGAGGTGAACGATTTTGCTGGGCAGCGGGAGCTGGTTGCTGAGAACCTGAGCGTCCGCGTGTGCCTCGAGCTGGCCAAATACTCTCAGGAGATGAAGCAGGAGAGGAAGATAGTGAGTGTGCCCCTCCCTCCCAGGGCCTTTGCTGCAGCCCAACGCCAGTGGCTGTCACATCGATTCAGACTCAGGGTGACCCCACATGTGTCAGGGCGGGGCTGTGCTCCATAGGGTTTTCAAGAAATGTCTCCAGGCATGTCTTCGAGGGTCTTCTGGGTAGGTTTGAACTGCTAACCTTTTGGTTTGCAGTCCAGTGCTTAACTGTGCTACGGGGGACTGCAGGGACTCAGGTGAGCCCGTCTCTCCACAGCACTTCCAGGAAGGCCGACGGGCCCAGCAGCAGCTGGAAAATGGCTTCAAACAGCTGGAGAATGTGAGCTTCGTTTGGTGGTGGGTGGCTCTGGCCCAGAGGAGCAGGGTGAGGGTGGCTGGTCCTCCAGGCCTGGCCTGGACTCCCCTGGTGGGCTCTCAGCATGCCTACTGCACCCTGCTTGACAGCTGCTTCCCTGAATCGCTGGCCCGGGGAGGAGGGTCCCAGCCTTCTGTTCTTTCCTGACACAGAGTAAGCGCAAGTTTGAGAGGGACTGCCGGGAGGCCGAGAGGGCAGCCCAGACTGCTGAGCGGCTGGACCAGGATATCAACGCTACCAAGGCTGATGTGGAGAAGGTGTGTGTGTGACTCGGTCTATCTAGGCAAGGCCTGGGGTGTGGGCAAGGCCAGGCCAGACCCTGACAGCCACCCCTGTCTGGACTCTTCAGGCCAAGCAACAAGCCCACCTGAAAAGCCACATGGTAGAAGAAAGCAAAAATGAGTACGCGGCCCAACTGCAGCGCTTCAACCGAGACCAGGCCCACTTCTACTTCTCCCAGATGCCCCAGATATTCGATGTGAGTGCTCAGAGCCCTGGAGACTGTCGGTCATTATGATGCAGACTACCTCATCTCTCTCCCGAGTTGGAGACTAGTGAATTTAAAATACCAGCCTTTCTGTTAGCAGCTCAGTACTTATCCACTGATACCAGAGATTTTTGTGCAAAGTCCCCAAAGCTGGCCAACTCCTACACACTCGTCAAAACCCTGACTATAGTGCCCCCTCTGAAGGGAAGCCCCGTGTGTGTCAGAGTAGAACTGTGCTCCGTGGTGTTTTCAGTGGCTGGGGATCTTTTGGGAAGTTGATTGGCAGGCCATTCTTCCCCGTGCCTTTGGGTAGACTCAAACTGCTCAAGCTTTTTGATCACAAGCTGTACCCTTAACGGTTTACACTAGTGTCAAACTTGTCCCTGTCTGTTCCTGCCTTGTATACACTTCCTGTTCAGTCCAGAGGTTGGGGATGGCTGTGCTGCTGTGTGGGGGCTGCTTTCCCTTCAAAGCTCTGTTGCCCTTGCTCCTCCTGACCCCCCCTTTTTTTTTCTCCAATGAGAAACGTTTTCTGACTTCCTGGGTATTGAGATGGGTTGACACAGTGGTTGGGACAATAGTCACACGCAGCAGAGATTGTGGGGGTGGTGCAGGATTGGGTAAGGTTTGGTTCTGTTGTGTATATGGAGCCCTGTTATGGTTGTTGTTAGGTGCTGACAACTCGAGGACAACTCAGTGACCCTATGTCATCCGGCGCAGGGGCCAGGCCCGCTCTCTGTATCATTCCATTTTTAGTATTTGTGCTGCCGAAGCGAGCACTCTGAGCGACCCTATGAACAGGAGACCCAAACCCTGTCCTTTCTCATCAGTGGTTACAGTCACTGTGTCACTCTGTCCCGTGGAGGGTCTTCCTTGGGGGTCACTAACGACAGACGAGGAGTTCTCAGAATCCCACATCCCCAGAGTTATCAGTCTCCCTCCTTGAGTACTCTGGGCAGCGTCCACTGTGGAGCTTTGCGCTTTGTCACTGGCCCCTCCCTCAGCACTGGCCACCTTACACACGTGTGCCCATTTTGTGGGTGAGGAAGACTGAGTCAGAACGTTCCCTCACTTGACGACCACACTCACTTAAGAGCCTGACTGTTTAGTAGGTGAAGGAGAGGGAGGGACAGAAGGTGAGCGACTTCCCAAAGCCCCTGCTCCTTACAGAAGCTGCAGGACATGGACGAACGTCGTGCCACCCGCCTGGGAGCCGGATACGGGCTTCTGTCCGAGGCTGAGCTGGAGGTGGTCCCCATTATCGCCAAGTGCCTGGAGGGCATGAAGGTGGCCTCAGGCGCCGTAGATGCCAAGAACGTGCGTGGCTGGTCCCATTGTGGTGGGCAGGGGGACAGTCCCCGACCCTGGACGCCGGGCTTCTCGCCTGACGGCCCACCTGCTTTCTACCCCCTGCAGGACTCGCAGGTCCTCATTGAGCTGCACAAGTCCGGCTTTGCCCGCCCCGGCGACGTGGAATTTGAAGACTTCAGCCAGCCCATGAACCGGGCACCCTCAGACAACAGCCTGGGCACCCCCTCCGATGGCCGGACGGATTCCCGCACCCCTAACCGCATCCGTATCAAGCGCTGGCCCTTTGGCAAGAAGAACAAGGTGGGGACCGGGGCCCTTGGGGGGCTAAGAGTGGGGACCTCCGGGCGCCCACTCTGTCCACCCTAGCCGCTGGACGCTGAGTCCCGGGCAGGAATTTTCCTGTTGGCTGTCAGCCCAGGCTGGAGGGAAGGAAGCCTGGCGGGCGGGTTGGCCTGGGTGTCCCCAGAGGCCAAGGGGGGGGGGGGGCAGGTGGAAAGGGCTGTGGCATCTGTCTGCTGCTTCTTGGGTTGCTGGAGAGGGATGCTGCTGGCGGATGCCAGGGCTGGGCTGAGGGAAAGAGACCAGTCTGAGGCTTCTCTGAGTCTCCATCTGTCCAGGGCTCCTGGGCCCCCGGCCTCGGGCTCTTTTTACTTGGGAATTTTGGCTTCATCTGCTGGACACTCCTGGTGCACACCTTAGACAATCCCCTTCCCTCCATGGTCTGTACTTCCTGCCTTCCTGACTTAAACATCCCGCCCCCCAGCTTAACCACTGCCCCTCTCTAGCTGTCACCCTTGCCTGGTGGTCACTGCTGCTTGGTTCAAACCTGCTTGAGGCCTCAGTCCCTGCGCCTGTCTCCCTCCACCTTTTAGACTGTGAGCCCAGAGAGCCGGGCGTACAGCAATGGGAGTGGCTGTGCCCCCCAGGCCCATTCTAGGTCCTGGAGGGGTGGCCCGAGGCGGTGAGGCCCTGGGGGTGGTGGGGCTCCGGCCTTCGGCCTCACAGTCCAAGCCCCTCCCCGCTCCCCTGTAGAAGTTCGAGTCACCCTCGCATGCGTTTTTCTGTTGTGTGCTGTACATCCTTAGCTGTGGATTTCTTACCGTTGTTTTTGTTTTTTGTTTGTTTTTTTCCCCTTTCTCCATTTCATGTTTCTTTTCTCTCCGTTTTGCGTCGATCCGTCCGTCCTTCATCCTCATTCTCTCCACTGCCCCCTGACTCCACTCCCACTGGCCCTATCCCCACCCCGGCCCCCGCCGGTAGCCGCGCCCCCCACCTCTCTCCCCCCTGGGGGGCCCCCTCCCCTCGGCCTTGCCTAATGGACCCCCGTCCCCCCGCTCCGGCCGTGACCCCTTGGCCATACTGAGCGAGATCAGTAAGTCTGTCAAACCGCGGCTAGCATCCTTCCGCAGCTTCCGAGGCAGCCGAGGGGTAAGTGAGGCCTCGGGGAGGAACGGGCCCGCCCCGCGGCCAGGTGGCGGGCCCTGGGGCTGCTTCCTGCCGCCAGCTAGGCGCCCCTTCCCCGGTTGCCTCACCTACACCTGCTTGGCTCAGTGCATGGCCGTGCGCCCCCCATAAAAGAACGGGAGGAAGGAAGGCAGACGGGCTTGGGACATGTGATGGGTGCGCAGAGCCTTCCAGGTGGGCCCCCCGGGATCCCAAGCTCAGTGTTCATCCCACTCTGCAGACAGTGGTGACGGAGGATTTCAGCCACTTGCCCCCGGAGCAGCAGAGGAAGCGGCTTCAGCAGCAGCTTGAAGAGCGCAACCGGGAACTCCAGAAGGAGGTCGACCAGAGGTAGGCAGGAGGGGCGGGCCGGGCACAGCAGGCGAGAAATGATGGTCCAGTGGGACCAGGGAGCTTTCTCCCCTGCAAGCCCCAGGCCCAGAGGGCTTTCCCGGTGATACCTACCAGCTGGCTGAAGCAGTTCATTCCTGTCTTACACAGTTTACCCCAGTGAACAGAAAAAGGGTGAAAGTTGCCCACTTCTTTTAAGATACCAGGGGTGAGGGTGGGGGGGTCTTGATTCCAAAATCAGCCAACCAGAATCCAAGGATATAAACTTAGGGATTTGTTTGTGTTTACTTAGGACCTTTTTGTGTGTGTGTGAGAAAATTTATATTTAAAATTAGTCAGCTGGACTCGGTGTAGATGATCCCAATTTTGTTGTCAACATCCAAAGCATCATAATTAGGAGCAAGTGGAACATAGGCCTTCTTCTCTCCATCAGGTCTAATCAAAGTGTTGACCTTGGCCACGTCAATGTCATAGAGCTTCTTTACGTGTGTTTAATTTGGTGCTTGTTGGCCTTGACATCCACAGTGAACACAAGTGTGTTGTCTTCTTTCTTCTTCATGGCTGAGTCAGTGGTCAGGGGAAACTTGATGATGGCATAGTGGTCAATCTTGTTTCTCCTGGGGGCGCTCTTCCAGGGGTATCAGGGCTGCTTTCAGAGTCTCAGCGTCTTAGGCCGCCGGAAGGTGGGTGACGTGTGGATCTTCTTGGCCTTTAATGCCTTTGCTTTGGCTTCAGTTTTGGGAGGATCAGGGGCTTCCCTCTTTTTTGGCGCCATCTTCGTAGAAAAAGCTGATTTCACTTAGGATCTTTAAAAGGAACTCTTATGGTGCAGATGGTTATGTACTTGGCTATTAACCGAGAAGTTGGCAGTTCAAATTCACCAAGTGGCTCCTTGGGATAAAGACCTTGGATTCTGTTTGCATGAAGGTTAAAGCCGAGAAAACCCTAAGCTGCTCTTCTGTATACGCGGGTTCACTGTGAATTGAAATCGACTGGATGACCCCTAACAGCAACTTGATCTTAGGTGCAAAATCTGAGCCTAGTGGCGTCTTAAACGTAACGCATCATGTTTTCTGCTGGGTGTTATCCCAGTAATGCAAAGATGGTTTGATGTAGAAAAATCTAATTAGCTGAAGGGATATTTTTTTTTAAAGGATTTTTTTTTAAAAGCTTATGAGTGTCTCTTTAAGCCCTTGAAATATGAACAATAAAAAACTTGCCAGATTTTAAAAAAAGAAAGGCTTCACTCTCACTCTTTCCAAGCAAGAAGTCTTCCAGCGTTGTTACATAATAGGAATGACGTTTGCCACTTGCAGACCGGCAGCCTGAGCCTGCATGGCTGCTTATGTGTAACTCCCCTGGATAAAGCAGCTCTCCTTGGTGTGAATTCCCACGTGGGACTGGGAAGCTCGCCAGGCAGTGAGGGGCTGGGGTTTGGGGTTATGGATACCTGTTCCAGTCCAGCCTCTGAGGCCCTGGGCAGCCTGTCTCACTGTTGCCTTGTCTTGTAATGAGGGATCAGATGACGGATGCAGGAGAAAGCTGAACCCAGGTCGGATCCATCCCAAAGGTGTGTGTTTATCATCACCACCTCAGTCTCTGTGCAGTTGGTTGTGATTTGGGTGACTCTGTGAGGTGTCACTGGGTAGGTCCTGGTGCCATGGGGGTTTCTCTGGCTGGTGTTTTGGAATTAGATTGCCAGATTTCTCTTCTAAAGTGAACTTGAACCTCTAAACTTTAGTTAGTAGCCAAGCATTTTAACTGTATCATTCAGATACACTTGTAACCATTACTGGCTGGATAATTAGCGATCTGGGGGAGAACCAGGGCGGTGGTACCAGTGCTAAGTCCCACCTCACCTGATGTAGACTCATGGCAACTCTTTCATTGGGTTCCCAAGGCTGTGGATCCTTGTGGGAGAAGACTGCCTGCCTTTCTCTTGAGAGACTGGTGGGTTTGAACCCCCAACCTTTCAGTTAGCAGTCCAGTACATAATATTACATGCTACCAGGACTCCATTGCTCTTCAGTGTCACTCTGGAGACTAAGGTGCATCTGACACAGGCCATGGTCTTTGCTATCACTTATTATGCATCAGAGAGTTGGACAATGACTAGGGAGGATAGAAGGAGAATTGATGCCTTTGAGCTGTGGTGCTGGAGAAGAGTATTGAGTGTATCATGGACTGCTAAGAAAACAAACAGAGTCATCCTGGGAGGGTTAAACCGAGCTGCTTCTTGGAGGCAAGGACTGTGGGGCTTCGTCTGACGTACTTTGGACATGTAAGGAGGGACCGGTCTTTGGAAGGATATCATGCTGGGTAGAGTAGAGGGACAACACAGGAGGGGAAGGCCCTTTATGAGGTGGATTGATTCAGTGACTGGGATAACTGGGATGGGTGTGTCAGAGACAGTGCGATTGGTACAGGACAGAGCAGAGTTTAGGGCTGTTGTACATAGGGTCTCCATGAGTCGCAAGTGACTCAACGGCACATAACAACCACAACAACAGGGACTCCAGTGATGATAACACCTCCCATTTGTGAAGCTGGTGGAAAATATTGAATATATGATGGACGGGCAAAAAGAAGACACAGATCTATCCTGGAACAAGTGCAGCCAAAGCGCTTCTTCGAAAGGAGGCCGGAGTGTCTTCGTGCATCGGCCATGTCTGGAGGCCGTCCTTGGAAAGGAGCATCATGCGGGGGAAGGGAACTGTGTGCCATTGAGTTGGAACTGACTCATAGCTGACCCTCCAGTGGGTTTTCACAGGTGGTAAATCGCACAGGAGATTGCCTCTCTTTCTCCTATGGAGCATTTGGTGGATTTGAACCGTGCGCCTCTGGGATTGCAGCACAGCTTCTTACGCAGGCCACTAGAGCTCCTGGGAAAGTAGAGTCAGAGAAAGAGAAGACCCTCAACAAGACAGATTGGCACTGTGACTATGGGCTTGATGATGGAGACGGCGCAGGATACAGAACCACTAAGATCCATGGTCCAAGGGTCCCTTGTCGCCGGCTCGAGGGCACTCGGTAACAAGCTACTGACCGGTGTGCAGTGCGAGTGACTGGATCGTGGCCAGGACGGTATGTGCACCATGGAGGCAGCAGTGGGCAGAAGACACTCGTCCCTCTTGAAGCCAGTGCATCTCACAGCCGCTGCCCGCTGGTCACTGGAGGCTTGTGTGTTGTTATGAAGCAGAACAGCTTTCCAACAAACAGACTAGGAAGACCTGGTGGTGGAATTCTAAAATCCAGCCCATGGAAACCTTGTGGCTCTTCACGGTCTGGTCACACCCGATGGTGCCCGTGGTGCAGGACTGGGCTGTGTTGTGTGGGGTCAGTTGTGCACTGGACACTGCTCTCTCGTTGACCACCATCCCCCATGTGCAGTGGGGTGTGTGCTGTCGTGCTGTTTGAGGCTGAGTTGGTTCTGGCTTGTAGGGCAGGGTCGAACTGCCCTGTAATCTTTATGGGAGCAGATCACCAGGTCCCTCAGAGCTGCTGGGTGGGTTCAAACCACCCACCTTTTGGTTGGCAGGCAAGCCCTTAACTCTCATGCTGCCAGTGTTCCTTGTGTGTGCATGTCGACATCACGCCCGTTTCAAAGGCAAGCTTACGGAAGCTGAGTTCAATGGCTTTCCCCTAGCTCACACGAGAAAACCCCGTGCTGGGATGTGACATCAGGCAGTCAGTCATCTGGGCTCCGAGCCTTGGTCCATCTTGCAATTGGTGCCGCAGAAGCCAAGCCCCTGTGTTTTGCTTGTTTAATCTCACGGGCCTCCGCTTCCTCATCTGTCCAACTCTAGGGAAGCACTGAAGAAAATGAAGGATGTTTATGAGAAGACCCCTCAGATGGGGGACCCTGCCAGCCTAGAGCCCCAGATCACAGAAACCCTGAGCAACATTGAACGGCTCAAGCTGGAAGTGCAGAAGTATGAGGTCAGGACAGGCCCGTGGGGGCCCCTGGGGAGGGGTGGGGGCCGGCGGGCTGGCCTGAGTCACACTGCCGGCCTTAAGGGGGGACAGGGAGGCCGCCAGGGGTGGGGGGTGGGGAACTCCAGCTGTTTCCCATCACGCTTGGGTGTGCAGCGGTGACCTCAGCCACCCCCCCCACCCCCGGTCGCCGGTCCCCAAGCGGGCTGACCCTGGACCTGATGGTGTGGCCCCTCCTCCCAGGCTTGGCTGGCCGAAGCTGAGAACCGGGTGCTGAGCAACCGGGGGGACAGCCTGAACCGCCATGCCCGGCCCCCTGATCCCCCAGCCAGTGCCCCCCCAGATGACAGCAACAGCTCACAGGACAACAAGGACAGGTAAGCTCGAGACCAGCTGAGGGCCTGGCCCTGGGAACCCTGAGGACCCAGCCTCAGCTCCCCCGTCTTCCCCACCAGCTTTGAAGGGGCCCCATCAGAGGAGGGCCAGGACACCCCCATCTACACGGAGTTCGATGAGGACTTTGAGGAGGATCCCGCCTCCCCCATTGGTCATTGTGTGGCCATTTATCACTTTGAAGGTGAGGACGGTGCGGGTGGGCCAGGGAGGCAGGTGGGCTGCTGGCAGCCCAGCTTGGCTTGCTCTCGGTCAAGCTGGCCCAGAGCTGACCGGGATCCTTCTCCACAACAGGGTCCAGCGAGGGCACCATCTCCATGGCAGAAGGAGAGGACCTCAGCCTCATGGAGGAAGACAAGGGCGACGGCTGGACCCGCGTCCGGCGGAAACAGGGCGGGGAGGGCTACGTGCCCACCTCCTACCTCCACGTCACACTCACCTGAGCCCGAAGCGGGAAGAGGGGGGGCTGTCGGCTGCTGCTTCTGGGCCACGGGGGCCCCAGGACCTGTGCACTTTATTTCAACCCCCGTGGCTTCGGCTGAGACCTGTGTACCCTGCTGCCCCCACCCCACCCCACGGGCCCGCTGTGCCTTGTTCACTGATGTACATACTCCTGTGTCAGGTCTTTTCTTCCTGTCGCTGGGCTGGGGCTTAGTTTTATATATAAAAACAAATGATGTCAAGAGCTCGGAGTCTGGACCTTGTTATAGGATTGCTTCCGGGGCTACAGGAGCAAGGAAGGCTTGGCTGCTAACCTCAAGGTCTGTGGTTCAAAACCACTGACTGCTCTGAGGGGAACACGCAGCAGTCTGTGTGAAGACCACAGCCTTGTGGACGCGGTAAAGCCTCTTGGTCCGCTAGTGACACTGAGTTGGACTCGCTCCGTGGCAGTGGGTTTGCTTTGGGGTCTAAATACAGTTTGTCAACTGCCGTGCTCCTCACAGGCCGCCCAGTGAGCAGGTCTTGGAGGTGGCCATGGGCTGACCAGAGTCCTCAGACAGGGCACTGGACTCCATCCCTTCTGTGTACAGCGATGCTAAAAACCGGTGCCAGCCGTGGTGTGTGTCAGGAGGCCTCAGACCCGATCCTGTTTCAGCTTTGAGCTTTAATAACAATCTGAGGAAGTACACGGTCCCACTTCAACAGGGCAGGTGGGCACAGAGAAGGCAAGCCATTAGTGAGAAAGCCACACAGCTCAGAAAGTGGTGGAGTCACATTTGGATTCGTTTCTGGTGCCCACCCTCAGAGGCCACGTGGTGTGGCGGTGACAGGTGCCTTCCAGGCTGCCCCCAGTGTGGAAGTGATGCGACCAGGTGTCAGAACCTCCACGCACCTGCGTCTTTGTGAGAGGCTGCCCCCCAAGGACCCATGTGCATATGAGCAGGCACAGAGGGTCCTTGCAAACCTGCCTCACCCTGTGGGGGCGGGGTGCCGAGGATGGGAGTCCTCATCAGGTGGGGCTGAGGGAGGGGTGAGTACTTCCTGGGCTTCCAGGCCCTCAGCCGTCTGGTTCCAGGCGCTGTGATAAGGTGCTAAGGACGAGCTGGAACTTCTCTAGGCGCTGGGCTCGCGGGGCCCCAGCACCCCTGCTCCCCCAGAGCAGCCTCTGCATGAAGCCTGTGGTCAGCGTCTCTCTCAGCTCTGCGTTCACCTGGAGACCTGGAGGAGAGGCAGGTGCTCTGGGCGGGACGAGCACAGATCCCACCCTCTGCATCTGCCTTTCCCCTGGGGACTTTGACCCCTGGTGTGGGGCAGCTGGGCGGGGTCAGCGGGAAGGGGCTCCTGGTGGGAGTGATGAGCTTGAGGGACCGTTGTGGGCAGGCGGTGGGTCCAGGATAGAGAGAGGGGCCCCACGTGTCCTGGGGTGGGGCTGCCCAGGATACTGAGATGCTTCTCCCTCAGATTAGGGGTGAGGTTGTCACTAACTGGCGGGAATGTCCCAGGTGAGGGATTTGGAGGTGGGGCTGCCCCCAGAAAAGAGCGAGTGTGAAGCTGCTAGTCTAATGGGTCACTGTGTAGGGACCTGGGCGTTTTGGGGGGTTCCAAACCGGGGGGAAGGTCTGACTCCGATGGGAGAGTGGGGCTAATGGGTGGGCACGAGTCTAGCGGCGGGCTAGCTCCTCTCCGGTCTCCGTTAATACTGGTGATGGCAGTGGGCTGGGGTGGGAGACCTTCTTGCGAGAAGGCGCCCCTACGGGAGTGGCGTGGGGGGACGCGCTGTCTCCAGGGCTGGTTGGGGCCCAGCACCATGTGGGGGCCGGAGAAGGAGCTCCCGGAGCGGGGACCCAGGGCCAGGACGCTCACCTCGCAGGCGCTGGGCCGCCGCCGCGCGGAACCTGGGCGCGTCCCGGGCCGTGCGCCTCGCCTCGCTCAGCGTCCGCAGCGTCCGCTCGCAGCTCTCGTAAGGCGGCCCCGGCGGCTCCTCGCCCTCCAGCAGGCGCACCAGGGGCGCCACGTGCGGCAGCGCCACCTCGCCCGGAGCGCAGGGCCCTGCGGAGGGGGCGGGGCTGGGATCATAGGGGGCAGGGGCCGGGACCGGGCAGACAGATGCAGGGGGTTGAGCTTGGATAGCAGACAATCCAGCAGGAAAAGGAGGGTCTAGGACAGTAGAGGGGACCTCTGTGGCGTAGTGGGTAAAACTCTAGGTTGCAGCTAACCATGAGGTCAGAAGTTCAAGCCTACCAGTCCTTCCGATGAAGCAACTTGCTTCTGGAAGGGCTTACAGTTCTACTCTGGCCTCTACGTCCCTATAAATCCCAGTTAAACCGAGAGCAATGGATTTTGGTTTTCGGTTTAGGACAAGGAGGAGTTTAAGGTAAACGAAAGGGTGGGGCCTGTGAAGTGGCATGGAGCGGGCTTGGGGCACATGTGGGGAGTGGAGCCTAGTCCTGAGGGATCTGGGTCAGAGGCAGGGCCCAGGGCAGGGGCGGGCCTTTGACAGGGCCGTGGGGTTTAGAGTAGTAGAGGGTGGAGCATAGGACAGAGAGAGGTGGGGGTCAGGGTCAAAGGCAACGCCTGAGCCAGGGGCGGAGCCTAGGCCAGCCAGAAGGGCAGGGCGTGATAGGCAGGGGTGGGGTTTAGGGCGGGTCAGGGTCAAAGGCACCGCCTAGGGCCGAGGGCGGGACTCGGTTAGGGGGCGGGGTTTAGGGCAGCCGTGGAGGACTGCAGCTTCATTTTGGGATGAGCTTCAGGGTCTGAACGCTTCGGTCTGGAGGCACAGGCCCGGTCGAGCCGCGCACCCTAGCTCAGCGGGAACCCCCACTCACTTGCGCTCTCGTCCAGCGCCCGCATCAGCGGCTTCAGCTCCTGTTCGAAGGCCAGCGCCGCCTCCGTGTGGGTCCTTCGGAGCTGCCGCCACGAGTTCTCCAATCGGGACACCTGGGGGAGCCCGACGAGAGCCGGGTTACCTCCTGGGAACCCTCTCCCCCCCAGGCCCCTGTGGCCAGCCCCCTCCCCAGCCCTGCGCCCACGCACCTGGGGCATGAGCAAGGCGCCCATGACGGCGGCCAGCCCGGGCAGGTCCCCGGCCGCCCCGGGCCTCAGCGCCATGGCCAGCTCCACCAGGCCCCGCAGTGCGGCCGCGCGCTCCTCCAGCGACGCGGTGCAGCCCAGCACGGCCAGCGCCCCGGCCAACGCCAGCGCTTCGTGCCTGCAGAGGCGGAGGGCAAGGGTCTGGGGGCGGTTGGGGCGGTGGGCGACACGGGTGAGAGCGGACCCGAGGCAGCAGTGCCATCTCCCCCCGGGGGGCGGTGAAGGGAGAGCCGTGTGGGGGAAAGGAAGACAGCACCTTCCCCGTGGAAGGCTCCCGGTGGCCTGCTCACCTCTCCAGCAGTTCCAGCCTCAAGCGATGGCCATGTGGAAGTGTGATCAGCTCCAGGCCAGAGGCGACCCCCATGGCTCCCCTCTGGGCCCTGGTCACTCCCAGGAGGCCTGAGGCCTGGGGGAGGGAGGGAGGGGAGGGACAGGTACTGTGGTGAACGGAATGAGTAAATGGGCGTGAGGTGCTGTCAAGGACCTTACCTGTTACCAGGTGACTCACCTGGCAGTCCACCAGCAGCAGGTGGAGGGCGGTGCTCCTGGGATGGTGCTGCAGGAACAGGCCCCGGAGGGTATGCAGGACCCCAGGCTCCAGGGGCCTGTTCTGGGGACCCAGCAGGCAAGATGGGGTATAAGGGGAGCAGAAGGAGACCTCGGTCTGGGGTCTCTGGAAAGCTGCATCTTCCTCCTCCTCTTCCTTTGGATTCTCCCACCATGGAATCTCTGGCTGTGCTTGGACGGAACCAGGGGGTGTTCGATGGGCATTGGGCACACGGGGCACCAGCTCACAGTATGTTGAGGTGCGTCCAGAGGCTTCAGGCAGCACCAGAGAGGGTGTCCGGAGGGGCTTGGTGGGCGCCTTGGAATGAAGCTGCCCATCAGAGGCTCGGAGGCTGTTGGCCACAGCGCCCAGGGCAGCCTGAGTCTTCAGCAGCAAGGGTTCACTGCCTGTCCGAGGCAGGGCTGATGGGGGCACAGGCGGTGCTCCTAGGGTTCAGAGAAGATGGCATAATGGGGTACACAAAGAAGACAGGGTTGCTAATGGCTAACGCCCTCCTGGTTCCCCCATTTGTTCAGCCAGCGGCAGAGTAAGCAAATGTTACCAGCGTCACCCACAGAAACACCACACACTGGCAGAGTCACCTAACTCTGCTTTCTCTTATACTCTATGAACTATGAAGAATGCATTTGAATCTTTGTTTCTCTCTCACAAAATAATATATTGAAACTTCGTTTCTGCCCAACTGCCCAAGGGCAGTAGGGACAAACTTTTTTTTTCCATTCTTTTCTACTAGTTTATTTACAAAATTAAAATACAATTTTTTTTTAATGTGTTCTTTAGAAACAGTGCAGCTGCTGCTGAAAACAGCTTGCTGTTTCATCAAAATGCTGAATCTAGAAGCAGCATATGACCCAGCAGGCTCAATTCTACATCATGAGGCAGAAGAAGGGAAGGCAGGAGTAGAGAAACTGGAGCACCAAAGTTCACTGCAGCATGTCTCGCAATCGCCCAGAAGTGTTAAACAACTGAAATGCCCTCCCACAGATGAGCGGGCAAACACAATGTGGCCCGTCCGCACGACGGAATATTACTCAGCCACAAAGATAAATGAAGCATAGCTACTGCGTGCCACCCCACAGGCGAACCTTGAAAACATCACCCCACGTGAAAGAAGTCAGTTGTAAAAGGACACAGACTGTATGAGCTCAGTTAGAAGGAAGAAATAGAAAAAGGAAAACTAAAGATTATTGAGGGTTGTCAGGAGAGGGAGGAAGGAAGGGTGAAGACAGGGTTTGTTGCTAAGGGGGCAATGAGTTTATGTTAATTTCCAGTGGTGATGGGTTAGAAAGACCAGCCTTTTGGTTAATGGCTCAGTGCTTTCACCAGTTTGCTACCAAGGGTCCTTGGAAAGGGCAGCAAGAATATTTGCACTTTTGTTGTTGTTATGTGCTGTTGAGTCACTTGCAACTTATAGCGACCCTATGTACAAGAGCCCTAAACTCACTCTATCCTGTGCCAACCTCACTATCTCTGACTCACTCCCACCACCCCAATCACAGAATCGATCCATCTCATCGAGGTTCTTCCTCTCCTGCACCATCCCTCCACTCTCCCAAGGATGACGTCCCTATCCAAGGACCAGTCCCTCCTTGCAACATGCCCAAAGTATGTCAGACAAAGCATCAGAGTCCTTGACTCCAAGGAGCATTCTGGATTCACCCTCTCCAGGACAAGCCTGTTTGTTCTCCTAGCAGTCCATGGTATATTCAACACTCTTCTCCAGCACCACAGTTCAAAGGCATCAATTCCCTTTCTATCATCCCTAATTACTCTCCAACTCTCCAATGCATAGCATGTAATTGCAAAGACTATAGCCTGGATTAGGCACACCTTAGTCTCTAGCCTGACATCATTGCTCTTCAGTACTCTTGAGAGGTCCCTCACAGCTGACTTTCCCAATGCAATTCTTCTCCTGATTTCCTGGCTGCTAGTACCAAGAGTGTTGACCATGGAGCCAAGTAAACTAAAACTGTTAACTATCTCAATCACTTCACCATCTATCATGATGCTGCCAATTGGTCCAGTGGTGAGAATCTTTGTTTTCTTGATGTTGAACTTCAATCCGTATTGAAGGCTGCAGTCCTTGACCTTCTGCAGCAAGCGCTTCCGGTCCTACCCTGTCACTGAATTGTCGACGTAGAAACTGTTGAACTTGTTTAATTTTTGTTCTGTCTCATTTCACCACAGTAAAGTGAATTTTTTTTTTTAATAAATGTGGTCTTCAAGATTCACAAAACCACAGAAGGGCTTCACAAACCCTTTGTGTACCTTGTCAAGTGCATGCCTTGGCTTCTTGAAGTCCAAGGGTCCCAGTGCCAGCAAACCCAAGCCTGATGAATTAGTCATTGGGGAAATGAAAATAAAAGCCACAGGAGATACCGCTTTTCACTGGAAATTTATATATATATATACACATACATACATACATTTTTTTTTTTTAAAAAAAGAAGAGAAAATAAAAATGGCAAGGGTTGGAGAGGATGTGAAGAAACTGGAGCCCTCACCCATGGTGAGGATAGGAATGTCAAATCATGCAGCTGTGGTGGAAAATGGTTTGCTGGTTCCTCAAAAAGTTAGCACCCCATGACTCATCTTAACACTGCCCTGTCCTGTGCCAGCCTCGCCGTCCCTCACATACTCAAGGCCACTGTCTTCCTTCTTTCTCAGACCCTCTACCTTTCCCAACAGGACAGTATTTTCTCCAGGGACTGGTGTCTCCTAATAACATGAGCACCCTACGCAGAGGTCCCCTCCCGGGAGAAGCAGCCCAAAAGAAGTCTTTTTCTAATTGACTTCTTACTTGGCTCAGTCCCCAGAGCCCAGAGCGTTCAGCTAATCACACCTTCCTTAAGGCTCAGCATCTTGAACTCTGCAGGGTTAGGTCAGAGCAGAGGATGACACCAGAGCAAGTGCGTCCACGGAGGGCATTGTCTCAGAGCAGCCGTGGAGGAGCAGCCTGGACACCTTCTGGAGCCGCTGGACGTCTGCACGAGCAACTCTTTGACCTGGGCCCATTGGACGGGCTCCTTTGCCCAACTGCGGAGCACAGCTGCACCCTTCTTCACCTAGAGCAGTGCTTCTCAGCTTCAGTGCAGACTCGTGGGAGGTTAGGAGGGCCAATCCCAGCACGCAGACGGCCGCTGAAGATGCTCCAATGTTTGGAAAGCTTGGATTTTGGAATTCAGACCCAAGGTTGGGAAATGCTGCTGCTGCCACTGACTGAAGGCGGCCTGCATTCATTTCCTGTCCAACAGTCTCCTTCCCAAGGCCTGGCGCTGGCTGGCAGAAGAGAGGAATCCCTCCTCCACTGGGAGGTTCACCACCATCCCACTACCATGCTACCTCGTGTAAATATCCCAATGTAAGAAGATGTATTATCCTGCAAAATGTGTCAATAAAACAAGGGCGTTTACACACACACACACACACACACACACACGACTCAGCAGTTCCGCTGGTAGGTATATCCACCCCAAAGACTTGAAAGCAGGGCCTCGGATGGACACTGGTACGACAGTGTCCACTGCAGCACTATTCGCTGCAGCTGGAAGGTGGCAACAAGCGCAGTGCCCATCAACAGACAATGGATGAACACCCGGTGGGGTGGCCCACTTCACCAGCAAGGTTACCACCCACCCACAGACAAGCATGAGGTGCTGACATGACAGACGTCATAACACGGATGAAGATTGCCGATCTCATGTGGAGTAAAATTAGAAAGGAAAATATTACATGTGCCACTACAAGGAAGTATTTAGAATGAGTAAATTCATAGAGATGAAGTAAAACAGAGGTCAGGAGGGGCGTGTTCATTTACAGTGACCCCATGAACCACAGATCTGAGGCCTGTCCTGCCCTGTGCCATCCTCACAATCTTGGACACACCCAAGCCCATTGCTGCAGTCACTGTGTCAACCCACCTATCTGAGGGTCTACCTTCGCTCCACCTTCCAGAGCATAATGTCCCTCTCCAAAAAATAACCTCTCCCAGCAACATGCCCCAAGTATGCGTGTTGCTGTTAGGTGCCGTCAAGTTGAGTATGACCCATAGGGACCCTATAAACAACAAGTCTGAACCCTGTCCTAATTACTTCCTAGGAGCATTCTATGAAGGGCTGGTGAGGAACAAGAAGAGTTGTTTGACGGGAGCTCTGGTGGCCTAGTGGCAGGAAGCTGCACTGCAATCCCAGAGGTGCGTTGTTTGAATCCACCAGATGCTCTTCTGGAGAAGGAGGGACAATCTCCCCATGTTGTGTAATGTTACACTATTTCATTGCTTTTCAGTGCTGCATAGCATTCCACTGTGTGGATGTACCATAGTTTTTCTATCCATTAGTTTCTTGATGGGCACTTGGTTTGCTTCCCTTCTCTAATGCTGCAATAAACATGGATGTACACACATCTATTTGAGTTGTGGCTCTTGTTTCTTTAGGATATATTCCCAGTAGTGGAATTGCTGGATCAAATGGTATTTCTATTTCCAATTTTCCAAGAAAGCTCCAGATCGCCTTCCACAGTGGTTGTACCATTATATACATTCCCACTAGCAGTGAAGAAGAGTTCCAACCTCTCCACGACCTCACCAGCATTTGTTCTTTGCTGTCATACTAAACTTTGCTATTGTTGCTGGGGTGAGATTATATCTCATAGTTGTTTATTCGACATTTTTAATGTACTGTTGTTATGCTTCTTCAACTGGGTCAGATTCATGCGAACCCTAGTCATTGTTCTAACTGGCACAGCACTTGCCTGTCCGTTTGCTGTACTGAGATAACTCGAGGGTTGCTGTGCTACTGAAAGCTATGCCTAGGGAGCTCTGGTGGCCTAGTGGCAAGAAGTTGCACTGCAATTCAGGAGATGCATGGTTTGAATCTACCAGATGCTCTGCTGGAGTAGGAGGGACAATCTCCTCCTGTACCAGTCAGATCCGATTTGATGGTACATGCACAAAAAATAATAATAATAAAAAATTTTAAAAAGCTATGCCTCTAGTGTGTCAAATACCACAAAGATCACCGATGGTGGACAGGTTTTAGTAGAGCTCCCAGGTTGAGAGAGACAAGGAAGCAGGATTGGCCATCCACTTCTTAAATAGCAAGCCTCTGAAAACCTGATGAACAGCAAAGGAGCAAGGGTCACTATAGTTTTAGAGGTAGGGTCACATAAGAAGGCGATCAAAATGAGGATGTATGCCCGATTTGCTATTAGCAGTAGAAGAACACTAATTTGTCCATTTTGTTCACTATGCAAAATAGAACAAAACACCCCTGGGTCCTGTTCCACCCTCAAAGCCTCTACAGTGCTCCCAGTCCTCCTCGCAAGCACTAGGTCCATCAGTCTCTCTCATTGAGGATCTTCCTCTTTTTTTCTACGGCCTTCCATATTCTCAAGCCTGACGCCCTTCTCCATGGACTGACCTCTCCCG